GAGGAGACCAGGGCTTTGTGGATGATGGTTTGGATTTGAGTTGTTGTCTTGTTATGAGCGGGAAGTCAGGGGCAGGTGTGTGGGTGACAGGGTGAGAGAAAAGGCGGCTGTAAAGATGCTGCTCAAGGGTCCAGGGAGCAGGCGGGGCCGCTGGGCACTGAGGCCATGCCGAAGAGACAGGCTTAGGCTGGTGTGCAGCTCTGGACATCCTAGAGGAGCCCTTGCATAGAAGTTTGGTGCACACCTGGTGGGCCTGGTACATGCGGCTGGTGACTGCATGACTGGCTGGCACAGAGGGTGGGCTCTAGATCAGAGGAGGAGCAGTAAGAGAGGCCCAGGAGAGGACGGCGCCAGAAAGCCGTCCCTGTCAGACGGTCTGTGTGGACAGTGCCTGAGGCTGGCAGTGAGCTGCTCTGATGCAGTGGGAAGGGCCGCATGGGTGTTGCTGCCCCTTGCTACCCAAGGCTCTTGGGTGAGTGGAGAAGCCCCGGGGCAGACGGGGTCTCGGAGAGGCTGGGCTGAGGATGGGCTTGGTGCTTCCTGGACTTGGACCACAGACAAGCCTGGGGGAAGCCCCGAGGGCCAGCAGAGGCCAGATCAGAAGAGGGGGACTAACTAAGCACATGGGCTCTGGGGACTGAGGGGGAGAGTGAGGCTGGCGTCGTGGTGGGGTGTCAGGACAGCAAAGTTGTCATCTTTGAAAAGGGATGGAGGGCATGACTTGTACCAGAAGTGGTGGGTTGTATGGTAGGTGAGCTCAAAACCATTTTAAAAAAGTGGTGTCGTGTGTGATGCCGGCTGGCTGCATGGAGGGAGAACTGTGAGGAAGTAAAAGTCATACACACTTTATCATCCCAGAGACCAGTTAGAGGTAGAAGGCTCTACCAGTTGGCCAACCTGTGTGAGAGATGATGGTGGCCGGAAAAGGCAGCGTGCACGTCACACGGAGCAACAGATAAATTGCAGAGATTATTCTTGCTCCGGTGGGTAGCACGGGGGGCTGAAGAAGATGCCTGGCGTATGATTGTGGTGGCCTGAGAGAGGGGATTTCTGCATTGTGCTAGCTGCATTTGCAGCCCTTGTCATGCAGCCCGAGTCCAATGCCCTGGAGCGTGTGACTCGAGCCACTGAGAAGGACTTGGGGCCTGGGGACTCAGGAGCGGGGCAGGCCCACAAGTGAGTTTGACATGGTCCAAGGGAGATACTTGTGCAGCTTGACTTCACAGTCGTCAGTTAGGCGTCCTTGCATTCCAAACCGTGGGCTGGGCGGCAGCGCTCCTGGCGCAGAGCAGCGCAGCACAGCACCCCGCCAGCCTCGCTGCAGCAGTAGTGATGGGCTGTGACTCGCTGTGATTTACCGAGACTGGCCGCGCTCACCTGGGAGGCACGCCGCGCCCTGCAGTTTCAGCTGCTCTGGTCCCACTTGTGCGGGGCGGCTGAGCTTGCACTGCAGCTTGCTTGCTGCTCTGTGGGGGCCGACCTCCTGGGTCTGCTTGATGGTCACAGCACGTGACTCTTCAGTGAGTTTTGAACACTAGACGTGGTTGAAATTTGAGTACTTTATCCCAATGGGTCTCGATTAGCAGCACGGTTGGCCTCACTGAAGGGGTTGAAGTAGCAGTGAAGAGTAGGTCTGGGTCATGGACTGCGAGGGCCTCTGGCCCTGGTTAGATTAGCACAAGACTAAGCGAGCTGGGAAAACGTTGCCAGTACCGCAAAGGGATGAAGTACAATCTGATCAATCTGGAAACTGACTAGAGGGTGTAGGCGGCCTCCTAGGGGCACTGCTTCTGGAAAGGTGTCGCGATTTGTAAGTCTACTTTGAATATTCATGCTGTCAAGCACAAGTAAGTATGCTTGTTGTGAGGTCAAATATTTTTACCAGAAAAATGAGTCAACCTGCCTTGGTGATCTCACTGAGCCTTGTGGCTGACCAAACTAAGTAGTTATCTTTAGCCTTGAGCTCTGCTTGCTTAGACTCTGTTTTTGTAAGGTGACATGATCGTACCTGAGCTCTTGATCTTACCCCCAAAATTCAGGTGCCAGCACATTCATCCAGCTGGCTGCTCGTGTCAGAACCCTTGGCTTCACTCCCACCTCCCCTTGCACAGCCCTCTAGATGCCCAGTCTGTGGTCACATCCTCTTCGACTCTTCTCTTGAACACCTGGAGGGAATAAGATGAAGACCCCCCTGCTCTGCTGCCCCACTCCAGGCCACGGAGTACCCCTCACCCTCTCTCTTCCTGCTTCTGTCCCTGCCTCCCTTCGGGTGGTCTTAAATGTCAGAGCGTGCCCTTCCCTGCCTCTGGGCCCCCACAGTGCTGCTGCCATGCTCTGGAGTAGAAGCGGGGCGCACACTCGCCTTCATGGCACATGGTTTGTGGCCCCTCCTCATTTCCTCCCTCTCTGCCTCTTCCTCATGCCTGCAGCCTCCTGGTCTCCCCTGTCGAGTGTGCCTGACTCTCTCGACTTGCAGACATCTGCGCTGCTTTTGCCTTTGCCCAGCCAGCCTCCCTAGTGGAGGGGAAACACCATACAGGGAAGGGGAGAGAGTGCGGTGGTTGTTTCCTTACTCTGTGCAGACGCCGGGGTGAATCCGTGCAGGAAAGTTGGCACCCGGTGGAGCTGGTGGCGCTGGCAGCATGGAGGGCAGCCTGGCCGCAGGTCATGTGGGGTTTGCCTTTGCAGAACTGCGTTAGCGCCCCCCAGCTGTGTGGCCTCCTGTAGGTGGTGGTGTCTATAAAGGGGGCGTGGCTTCTGTCTGGCTCACTTTGTTAAGTTACTGAGAGCGGAAGTGGAACGAGATCCCCACAGGTGCTTTGTAGACGCTTAGAGACATGGTTGTCACGCTGTCTGGCTTGTTGGCCATTCTAGTCACTGCGTGTCAGCTCCCCTTCTCAGCGGGTCTGGTGACGCCCTGGAATCCACTTCTCACGTGTCACATTGTTGTGTGTTGGTCATTGTGTAATAAAGGATCATTAGTGCAGGGACTGTAAATAGATCACCATCCAGCTATCCTTGAGAGCCAAAGGTAAATGGCAGTTGGATCGATTCTTGCTTTGGTTTATCAGCGTTCTTAATTATTTGAAAGTTCCAGAAACACACACACACAGTTTGACCTTGTGGGTGGTTTCTTCTTGCACAGGCAACTCCTGTTTATGCGAGTAGAAAACAGGGTATGATTTTATATGGAGTCGTGTGAATGACACTTAGATTCCCCCCTCCCCCCTTTTTGAATGCTGTCATATTTTTGCACATTTTTTGGGGAGCAGTTATCAATCATGTTCACCCCAGAGAGATTACCTTTTCCTTAAATTTATCCAGAGCTATGTCTGTCCTGAATTGCATCTAAGGTTTTCAGCCTGAACTCCTTGTTCTCGCAGTAGACCTTCATGTTTTCTGAGTCAAAGAGGAATGTTTTAACGACTGTTAGCTGGTCGTTTTCTTCCTGGCATGGTTGGCTGGTTCATGCTCGCAGCGTAAACCCAGTGGAGAGGTAATATGTCTCTTGTAGTTTCAGTGGCCAGCACTGGGGGTCCACAGGGACTTGCAGTTTATTAATGTCTGCTTTGCAGGTGATTCATCTGGGGTAGAACTTTTGCTGATACTAGAATGATTTTTCATCTTCTTGATGTGTGTTTAAAAATGGAATTCCTATTTGAAAGCTTATTCCCTGTGTAGAAGGAAGTAACCCAGGTTTGCACGACATGCTTTGACCCACCTGCCCTTGCTGTGGGCTGTTACTGCCCCTCCTGTTTCCCCACATGCTAAGGATGTCGGAGGGGCTCTCGGGATGACTTTTCTGGTATCAAGTTTAACCTAAGAACTCTGGCAAGAGTATATGATAATTCTTATGGTCTTGGCATGACCAAACTGAATTTCTTCTGCATCTGAGACATCATCGCATGCTGTTGGATTTGTTTGTTGTTGTCTAAAGGACCAGTCTGTTGTTGGCAGGTGTCACTTCCTTTCTGGCCCTACTACATGGAATCCAGCTGGTGCTCACGTGGGCCTGTTGCTGCTGGTGGTGCACGGGACCGGCAGGCCATCACCACAGCTTTTCTTTAGCTCCAAACACCTGCCACAGATTGCTTAGCAAAGATTGTTGAACAAATGAGATGAAATATTGGGGAAGACAATAAAAGATATTTTACTGGTTATTATGACTACTTCAATACTGACTTGTAAGCAAAACACTTTTGTCCTTTTATAAAGGTTATAATTATTGGATTTTGGGATTTTTTTCATTGGAAATTCTTAAAAAAACACTTAAGATTTTCTTTGTTGTGTTTATACTCAAGAAGAACTTACTAGTGAAACTGTGAGTAGTAGTGATTGGGAAGAATGTTTTCGGAAGCTATTATGCTTTGTTAAGACAGAGATAATATGTTTTGAAAAGTAATCTTTTTCCCTGGTAAATAATTAACATGGTAAGTAGACCTGAAGATGTGAAAGTGAAGTTTTTCTCTGGGGTCATCAACTTTATTTGAGATGACTCTTTGGGTGGTTCTTGAGGGATATTCTGGTCATTTGGAGATGGAGCCAGAGTCTCTAGAAGATGGTGGACGACCTGAGACATTTTCCAAGCTGTCTTAAGTTATTTTTTTGGGTAGAAATAATTTTTACTACAGGTCTTTCCCCTTTTAAATTCATTCTGTGTATTTTAGAACACTTTTGTGGATTGTACCCATTATGTCTTGTACATACTTTGCCTTTTCCTTAACAACAAGAAACCAGTGCACAGAGAGTATAGTTTACCCTCACACATTCAATGTTTTCATTACTGGTGTGGCAGAAAATATCCTACCATATGCAGAGGCCAAAACTTTAAATACTTAAGTGTCGTTCGTACTTGCCCTTGCTTTTTGCCCTGTGGTGGTGAGAAATGTTCAGGGCTAAAGCATGATTCAGAGATTTAGTTAATAAAACACACTTTTAGGGAGGAAACATGAGAAGATATTTAAAGTAAAATCAGCTTCTCTTTTTTTTCTTCTAGCATTTTTGAAACGTTGGGGCTGTTGGAGTGGTTGGATTTTCCCTGGAATTGAGTGAGAAATTCAGAAGACTGAAGCCCAGGCTTACTGTCTACCTTTCACGGAGGCCTAGCCGTGAGAGGACAGAAGAAGGCACGTGGCGAATCATGACCGCTGACAAAGACAAAGACAAAGAAAAAGAGAAGGATCGGGACCGGGACCGGGACCGAGAGAGAGAGAAGAGAGACAAAGCCAGAGAGAGTGAGAATTCAAGGCCTCGCCGGAGCTGTACCTTGGAAGGAGGAGCCAAAAACTATGCCGAGAGTGACCACAGTGAAGATGAGGACAATGACAACAACAGTGCCACGGCCGAGGAGTCCACGAAGAAGAACAAAAAGAAGCCACCGAAAAAAAAGTCTCGTTATGAAAGGACGGACACTGGAGAGATAACCTCCTACATCACGGAGGATGACGTTGTCTACAGACCCGGAGGTGAGGCGCGTTACCCTGGGCTCTCGACAGCGTGAGAGAGAGAGAGAGAGATGAAACAGACACCCCTCTGTGTGCTAACCGAGGCTCAGCACCCAGGAGAGCTAGTTGTAGTTTTGGGGAGCAAGGTCAAGATGGGGGATCGCTCACCCGCGCTTTGGCGCTGGGTCGACCCGCGTCTTGCTGTGTCTGGCAGCTTGCCGTCCTGCCTGCTGCTGTGCGCGCCTCTGTCTCCTCGCTCTCCTCCCACTGTTGGCTCATTTTGCCTGTTCTCTTGCTGCACCATCTGCGCAGCTGTTTTCATCTTTTGACTTCCTCTGTACATTTTATCTGCAGCTTACATTGGTCGTGGCGACCCTGCGGAATGGAATACATGGTAGGGGCAAGTCAACCGTAAGATTTTGCAAACAGGAAATTTTACCGTGGCAGTGGGAGTGACGAGGAGCTAGAGAGGGGCGGACGGCGGCCTGGCCTCTAGGTGTCTGCCTTCTGCCCGCCTTCATTCCCGGGTGTTGGACTGCAGGCTCTCTAATGGGTAACAGTAGGTGAAACGGACTATCCTGCTTTGTTTTCTAGAAAGTGTACTTCTTTATGGAATGGATTGGGTCACACAGCATTACTCAGAGAGGTCAGTGCACCTTCCGGATGAGATGTAGGGAGGGAGCCGTTCAGGGCCTGCTGGACAGACAGTGCAGCCTTTCCTCCTGGTGTCCATGTCATGTGTGGCTTCCTGCACTTTGTGGGGAAGGCGGTCAAGCTTGCCAAGACCGTTCTGTTTGAATACTTAGCGCTGCTGAGGAGTGACATGACTTTCACGGGATGTAATTACAGATTAAAAGATGCCCAGTTTGAGGTTTTTCCAGGAAAGGGAGATTGATGAGGTTATGTTATGTCACTAAGCTGGGGCTGTTGTTTCACTGAATTCAGTAACTGTTCTGAACATCACACGAAGAAGCAGATTTCCTGCCCCTTTCCCTTCCCTCTCACCCCCTTTTAGGAATTACTGCTCCATTTCAAAAGTTAGTATTAGGATGTAAGGGCAATCTGTCTGCGACATCTGTCACTCCACTGATCTGGCCGGCTAGGCGGGTGTCCCCTTCCTCCCTCACTGCTCCGTGTGCATCCCTCCCAAAGCTGCGTGCTCTGTCGAAGAGGACGGTCATCCCCAAATAGAGACGGACGGTCTTCGGTCAAGAGTATATGAGTAGCTGGGCTCCCCTGCTACAACCTCCAAACAAGCTCTCAAGTCAGTGTTAGAAATGAAACCAATACACTTGTATTCATAACAACAACATTACTTGGTGAAGATAACTCGTGATACAAAATGAGCACAGCTGATATTTTAGGGAGGGCAGCGCTCTGCAGTCAGGGTTCCTGGGCCAGGGCTCTGAGTGACTCAGTCTCTGGACAGTGAGAATTTCTTAGCCACTGAAGATGTCTTGTTATAGGGTTAACATACATTGCTTGCTTGGGGCCTGTTTTGTTTTACATTATGAGACAGGAATAGTGTGTGTTTACCTCATTCAATAAAGATTATATTACGGTAATTTAAAAATTAGGAATCATCTTTCTTGTTGTCCTTTCCTCTTGCACACGGCATCTACTGTGGTACTCTACTCTGAGTGCGTCATTTCCGAGGTCAGCTGCTTGCACGACTGTTTCAGCGGGGCACTGCCCTGTGGCTGAGGTCAGTGCGTGTGGGGATGCCATCCGTCCATGTTCTCCATCTCAGGACAGACTCGCATTAAGGGTTCTGAGAAGCCCTGCAGCTAAGGAGACCACATCAGTTTTAAAAACAGCCCCCAGCCTCCCCCCTGGCGGTGCCCTAAGAGAGCCGCCTGCCCAGCTGGGAAGCGCTGACACTCTCCTCTTACCCCTTTGGCAGGCTGTGTGAGTCCAGCTTGGTATTCAGAGGAACGTGTGGAAGCAGGTGGGAGAGGCCTTTATTCACAACGCCGGAAGTTTTCGATGTGTTTTGGGGAAGGACCTTCCACCTGTGGAGGAGGCCTTTCTGTAAATGCCGACTTTGGGAGTGTGAGAAATGTGCTCTTTGGAAGTGAGTTGTGTTAGAAAGGATCTTTAAAGGCAAGAAATAGTTTGGAATGTTCCTGTGGCACTCAGAGTGAGCCATGCTGGGCGGAGCAGCCCTGACTCTGTGGGGCCTGAGGGAGAGGGCCGGGGATATGCTGCTGGGCTGGTGGCAGAGCTTCTGGGTGCTTCCTGTGCTTTCTCGGGAACGGAACGCGTTGCCTGGGCTGCCTGCTCCAGATAGTGGCTTCCTATGGAGGCCTGATAAGTACTGTGTACTCCTTGTGTTTCCTTCAACTGAAGAATCAGAAACAGGGCATTATGACTAGATTTCCAGATGGAACTTGATGTTTGTCTTTGTCTTTGTCTTCCTTTATGATCTTTTTCTTTGTTGGTGCAAAGCACTATCATAATCTCATGTTAGACATGAAAAAGTCATCCTGTGGAGATCTCACTGCTTCATATACTTAGTTAACAGCTTGTGTATTTAGATAGGAAATCTATAGGCTTTTGTAAAGGTTTTTTTAGAGGATAGCTTTTGAATAGATCATTAATGTCCATTTATCTCTTTAGGATATAAGGCACAGATTAGTTTTTTCATTTTTGCTGAGTTGGTTTTAATACTCAGAGTAAGTGTGACTGATAGCTACTCCCAACCCCCTAACTTACTATTAGGAATGAGCCAGTTAGTGGTACTTTGAGGCTAAGAATTAGTGGAAATTATGTAATTGTATTTCCTTGCCTTAGAGGGAAAAACAAGTCTGTGCTCAGATTATTTGACTTGAGAATTCAATTTGTCACTAGCTGTACCTCCTGCATGGTCACAGCCAGCTCTCTTGTCTCTGTGCCTCACCTCTGGAGGCATCTTAAGTCAGCCGTGGGAGTGCAGCGTAATGACCTTCCAGTCATTTCACAGCCTGCGCGACCTCCTAGCTCAGGGCCTCTGCACTTGTTACTTAGCTGCCTTTCTCTGGTGACCCCGCTCCACCACGCACTCCCCGCAGCCATTGCCTGCCTTTGCGGCATTGCAGGCCCTTCACAGCGCTTGTCGTGGGGTCTGTTTTTTTTTTTTTAAAAGATTTATTTATTTGTGCATACAGAACTGGGGTACAGGCCAGAGGCTCAGGGGCGGTGAGAGGCTTCACCAGGGACAGAGTGGGGAACAGAACAGGCAGATCGACGAAGCACACTGCTGAGGGGAGCAGCGGGCGGGTCAAGAGAGGTCTGCTGCGCCATGTGGTCACCTCCAGGGCAAGCGGGAATTGAACTCATGCGGAAGCGGCTTTAGCTTCTCAGTGCTGTGCTTTAACCCGCTGCGCCACCAGGGAGGGCCGGGGTCTGTATTTTTGCCCCTTGCGCTGATAGTATTGTTACTTTATGGTTTAGCTCTGTTATTACTGTAGGGTTAGTGCCCGTCTCCTGCCTCCATAGTGACTGCAACACTGTGTTTTGCTTATGAGTCCCAGGCACCTACCCAGTAGTGTATACACAGCGTGTATTCCACAGTATGGGCCAAATAATGAGTTTCTGAACACCTTTCAACAATTTGTTAAATTTACCAACTGATTAACGGAGTAGAGAAGAATAATTCTCCTGGAAGTCTGGCTTGAGTCATTTATAGCCCAGTGCATGAGGCTTGTTATCAAATACAACACAAACCCCAGGCACGTGGGCCCCGCTGGACACGGGCCGTGGCCTGTGACTGCTCTGCCTCTTTGCTGTCTGTCAGCTGATCCTCCACTCTTGAGATGACTCTCGGTGACAAATTGATTTATCACACAGCCGTGTGCGGCCAGATTTCCCTTATGGGCATCTTTGGCATAGAATATTGATTTCTAGTGCGGCAGACCTCTCCTGTCTCCCCGCTGCTCCCCTCAGCAGTGCCCTTCGTCCATCTGCCTGTTCTGCTCCCCACTCTGTCTCTGGGGAAGCCTCTCGCCGCCCCTGCACCTCTGTACCCCAGTTCTGTATGCACAAATAAATAAATCTTTAAAAAATACATTGATTTCTCAAGTTTGCTGTGGGTGGCATATTAACATCTTTAAGCTGTTTTCTTTCCCCTCCTCCCCTGCCATCTTGCGATTGTATTTTTGGTGTTGCCAATGGTCCCCTGCAAGCAGCACCCCGGCAGGCCCACTGGGATCGCAGTGGTTTGGCGCAGACATTCCTGGGCACTGAGTAAGTGGTGACCTCTCTCACAGCCTCGCCGTGGACCCTACGCCCAGACGGTCAGGCTGCACCCCCGAGGGTGCTGTCTTCAGCGGCCCCTTTCTGGGGCGGCAGCGCGGCGGCAGTGTGCTCGCGTGTGTGCGAGGGCGGCGCACAGCGCGCAGCTGAGTGGGCTCTGCGGCGAGACGCGCGGTTGCCCGGGGGTGTGGGCTGCGACCCAGACCCAGACCCGGACGGGCTGGACTTGGCAAAGGTCCTTAGGGAAGGTTAGCGCTCCTGGGCCTGGCCTGCCTGCGGTCATTCCTGCAGCCTCTCATGGCTTTTCCTTTGGTGCCGTCCTGTCGGCCTCCTGTAAGGGCACCAGGCGGTACCCAGTGACCTCAGTCTAACTGGCTCGTTTTCCAGTGCGCCCTTCTCCGAGCAGGGTCACGTTCTGAGGTACCAGGCACAGGTGAGGTATTAGGGCTTCAGGGCCTGCGTTTTGGGGGACGTAGGTGTGAATGACACGGCAGGCAGAGCTCAGTACACAAGGGCTTGAGTGACCCGAGGCTCATGACCACTGTGTTTCTCTCAGTCGTGTTTCCTTGGAGCAGCTGCAAAAGTGTGTTACTAGTGTTTTCCCATTCTGGTCTACTTTCAGCCGTGCACTATATTGCTTTTTGTCTTCAGACTGAACTTTATCTTCTCAGCTCCTTACGGCATAGACTAGGAAACCACCTAAATTCTGCACATGTAAAATAATTTTAGCACATAAAAGTCATGACTTTTCATCTATGAGGGTAGGAGAAACTGCTGTTCTAAAGTTA